AGGTATACTTGTTTGCCAGTCAGTAAAAAACAAAACATGGTTACCCTGTGGTCACTCAATAGGTATACTTGTTTGCCAGTCAGTAAAAAACAAAAAAATGGTTACCTGTGGTCACTCAATGGGTATATTTGTTTGCCAGTCAGTAAAAAACAAAACATGGTTACCCTGTGGTCACTCAATAGGTATACTTGTTTGCCAGTCAGTAAAAAAAACATGGATTGAATGGGTACCCTATAGTGAATTACAAAAATTTCCTTTTTAAAGAACAGAAAGACATTAGTATTATGGTGTCATTAACTACAACTTCCAGAATCCCTTCCACACTTTCTTTGGTTAAGTTAATTAGCAGCAACTTACTTATTACTCTCATGAGAAAATACAAATTTGATTAAAAAAGAAAATCTTTTGTAAAGCACTTTGGTAGTAGTGGACAAATGAATTCATCATGTAATTGGCCTAAAATCTTACGCCACAAGCTTAATGGCCACCTTTGTGCTCTCATTGGTCAAAATCTGACAAGTCATCCAATCATGATCGCCTAGTAACACTAAGATCTACTGTACCTGTACTGATTCTCCGTCCAGGCAGTTCCTTGGCTTTTCAACCACAACAGCATCAATTCCAGCAACCACTCCTGATTGGTTGATTGAGGCATTGCTGCCGAYGCTATTAAGACTAGAAGTGCTCATGGCTTCTCTTGGCCTCTTGTGCCTGAATAAAGTGAAGGTCACATCGCCCTTTATGATATCAAAGTCCCAGGTGATAACAGACTCTGATTCTGTTATGCTTATAAGCACCTGAAATAATCAAAAATATTAAGATATATAAATTTTTGACATGGTTTTTCCCTGTCAAAGACCACTGGCGTTCTGGCGAACAAGGACTGTCTGTTACTGAAGGTTGTGGGTTCATGCTGAGCCGCCATACCTACGTGTAGATTCTACTACAACTGCAATTCAGGAAAGTGCAAAGAGTTTACCTACGGTGGTTGCGATGGAAATGCGAATAATTTTCGAACAGAAGAGGAATGCAAAAAAGCATGTCATGCTGCCTGAGGTAAAGTTTGCTTATTGTCTTAATAGACCTCTTTACCTTCGGAATTTTTTCCCATTTCAGACCAGAGTATCATTTTTTAATGGTTGCACACGAAAAGACACATGAATATGGATAAAACTCAAACAAAGAATCTCATTCTCAAGGGAATGGCATGTGGTCTGAGATGGAAAAACATTGCACCACAACAAATAAGGAAAAATTCAATGACCACATTTACTGTGGATTATTGTACATGTACAACATTGATATGCTCACCTCATGAGGAGAACCTTTACTGACATGTGCAGTATGGTAAATATCACTGCCAAATGATGTATCTCCACCATCAAATTCTAGAGATCTATACAGACTCTTGGGTACAAGTTTGCCTTCCTTGATGTCGCACTCGGCAGGGCCGCCAAGAAAATCTGGGATGAATTCTTTGTCAATGTAGTCTGTGAGTCCTCCTGGTCCCTGTGGGATGAAACAGAATCAAGATTTAAAAATATTCGAATACACACTATATGGAGGAAACTGCAATACCCTAGAGGGTGGAAGGTTGAAGGTAAAAAAAAATGCAAAAAACTTCCTGAGGGGTGGGGCACCATTTTTTAATATTTCATCCATGGTGGGGTATGAAAATTTTCTGGAACCACACAATGTTATAAGATGTGATACTGAATAGAGCATAGATGGGTTAAAAATAAATGGATGGAGTGGAGAATGAAAGGAAGTGGGAGAAATAAAGGGATGGTCAAAGAAAAGAACTTCAAGATAGCTTTGTGCACCTCCTGATGCGGAGAGCCATAATCAAGTGATCAGGAAAAGGAGAACTGAGAGAAAGGGAGAGAAAAAGAGATGGGCGGAGGAAAGATTAGAAATACTATAAAGAAATAAGAAAGAATAGAAGGATGGTGGAAAGAAAAGAAATGGATGAAGGATGGAAAAAATGCAAGAGATACCAAAATGTTCTATTAAATTCAACTCCCCCCCCCCCCAACCCCCATTAATAACAAGAAATCAAATAAACGTAAAAGAGTAAGACTTACGTGATAGTCATTTCCTCCATAAATGAGGAACTTATTTCTAGTGTTTTCATCGATGAAAGGACTCACTAATGTCCACAGAACACCAAATATTCTTGGTGCTCGTACTATCAGAAGCCTGCCCATGGTTTCAGGGTAGTTGCTTTCAACCACTTCTATTACATGCAAGAGAGCTTTGATTCCTGGAAGACAAAATGAAAAAGAAAGACAGTTTAGCTAGTAGGAGATTGTTCAAAAATTTTAAGATGAAAGGGATGCATGTTTATTGACATTCGTATTGTGATGTTAATGTACGAATCATTTTAATAGTGGTTTTGTCACTTTGATTTGTTCCGTTATCCAAGAGATTTCTGGATGGCAATTTGAATGACAGTTCCTTATAACGAAGAGTGTCATCACAGGTTCATCTTTAAATTAAGCCCCATTTATAAATGTCTTTAATCTTTTAATGTAAAACTTGTGCTAGAGTGCTCACGCTAAATCCGTGAAACAAATACTAATTTTTAGTACTAAATAGTGGCAATTAAACAATAGAAAACAAAGGATTCTGTATGAAATAGTACTAATTAGTGCTATTTAATGTTCACGGTTTTAGTGCGTGCACTCTGTTAATATACTTTATATAATATATCTTCGTTAATACATAAACTTTCATTTGCTGTCCCATTTTCATTTTCATTCCCATTTCTATTCTCATATTTTTCATTCTTACCAGGTCTCCAAAGGTGCCTCATGCTTAGACCATCAAGATCGCAGATACATGTCCAGGAACTGTGAAAAAATAATGAAATAATGTTCACAAACAAACCTGATAGTTAGGTGTATGAATTTCAAGAGCGAAACTGGAATATAAAACAAATAAGAAAATATTTCGTAACTGAATGGAAAAAAAACACCAAACTTGAACCTTGTAAGACAACCAATGAGCAAACAAAAGAACAATGATTAGGTAATTTCAATCAGTTTTTCCCTGACGATGGGTTTGTAACCCGAAAGCTCGGAGCAGGAATATGAAAATACAAATCGTGGATGAAACAAAAAAGTAGTAATAATAATTAAGTTTTTTTACCTGATTGGCTGACCAGTTTCTTTTGTTAGATTCTCAGTTCTTTGTAGGCCTTCTTCATTAGTTGACACAACCTGACATTTGGTTACACAGAGATACGTTAGAAATACATTCATTTGAAAAAAACTCACAAGACCTCTACAGCAAAACTAAAGCCCACAATCATCTAAATTCCTTCCYAGACATTCTTAGGCCCTGGCTAAACAAGGAAACAAGTTTCCAGGAACRTGTTTCCTGCATGCATGTTCCCTGATGATTCAAAGTTTAGCCTATGCGAAACATGGCTATGTATATGCAACAAATTTTGCTTCCAAGATGCAAAAATGTTTCTGCTGTAAAGATTCTAAAAATTCTTAACTTAGCAACACTAGCTCTATCTTGAAAGTGCGCATGCACTAACCGATGTTGAGCAAACTTGTTTCCTGATGTTCCCTGACAGTTTTGCCACCTTTGGAAACATTTAAGAAAACATGTTTCTTCGTTTAGCCAGGGCCTTAGGGTCATCACCTAATGACCATAAGAACATCTGCACTATGAGACTAATTATTGTCTAGCAAAATTATTTTTTTAAATGTCTAGTTGTGCCATTTTGTTTACTTACATGCTTTAAGAATCCATCTTCACCGACAGCCTTCAGCAAGCCCTTTACATCCATAGTACCAAGTCTTAGAATATAAACTGGACGTCCCTCTTTAGAAAACAGAAATATTATGTATGAATTATGAAGTCTGCAAACTTGCAAAAATAGCAACTTATAGCTAGAGACATGGAATAATTTCACTACCATTGTGATTTAAAATAATACAGTGTGCTTCATAAAATGGTTTAATATTGCAGGCTACAATGCATTAAGCATCACAGTCTGATTCACAATTATAGAAGAATCTAAAGGGTAGACTGAAGTCTTAAAGTGGCTATAACCCCTCTGACAATATTCTCAGGATTGATTCACATGGGGTAAGCTATTGAATAAACCAAATAAAATTCATAGTTTGAGTGCGGCTTCTTGAAGTTATAGAGGTTCTTACATGCCATTGCTGTGGCATATGAGTCATGTATTTTTTTGTTGTTGTTACTTATATGAGATATTTATAAAATACTGAGTTTGTTCATTGAGTAAAAATAGGGACTACCTTTATCGTGGTGATGCCATCCTCCACAATAATATTCCAACAAGTGCTCAGGTGGTTTCCAAGTCTCTAAGATAGTATCAATATGATGGTGTCTACGCCAGGCTAGCGACTGACATAACATTTCATATGCCTTTGGTATGGAAAGAAAAAAAAAACATAATTAATGGCAAAAGCTGATCCTGCCATTGATGAAGACACAAGTCAGTGATGGAAAACCGGGGTTCTAAGACAGGGAATTTCTTTCAAAAACCATTTGAAATATATCAAGTGTAAATCTCACCTTCTCTAGGTTGAAGTCTCTGGCTCGTAGAAATCTTAGTAAGTRAGCATCATTTGGCATCTGGAATCACGAAGATTTAAAAAATATGCAATACAGATATAAGCTAAATACAAGACCCCTAGATGTGACTGAAACTTCTCATCAAACATATAGTTTTTAGCCCTCTCCAATGGGTAAGATTTCCACAGGCTACCCATCTGCAGTATGTACTCACACAGGCAACCCATGCATTCACATCATGTATTCTACAAGCTTCCCATTTGTAACTTGTAAAATATTCACAGTAATATTTCCACCGCTGGGCTAACTATCAGTAATGTGATATTTCCACAGCCTACCCATCTTATGCTTATGTGTTACAACAGGGAACCCATCTCCAGCATGTACTGTCTGTAATATTTTCACATCTG